TTTTAGGGAAAAAGCCTGAATGTGAAGAAAATATACTGGATTAAAGATCCTCTTTGTAAGGGAGATATTTATAGTATTCTATTTTTCTTATATCTCATATAATTTTCACATTCATCAAAGCACATACATGTACACATACCTGTGTACACACATACACACTAAAAACTAATGTAAAATAGGATGACATAAAATAAATAATTACTATTATCAGGTAAAGTCAATATATAATTGACTGAATCTCTCAGAACAAGATTTTAAAACATATGTAAACACATCCACATTAAAATGTAACTGCTCTGTGTTTCCCTTTAAATTTTGTACTTCACAATCTCTTTATGACGTCATACCTCAACATCACCAGTGTGGACATATAATGCTGAAGTTCTGGCAACATATAAACAGAGGAAATGTCTCTTCCACTGCTGTAAGTCCTCTTTATACTTTTTAGTATTTCTAATGACTACCAGCTCTATTTAGTTATATATTTATATATTTTAACATAAAGAATATTGGTTCATGATAACTTTATAGACAAAATTTCATTTTAAACGTATAAAACGTCCATCATATATTGGGTGTTTTTCTTTGAATTTCAGTCAGTTTGTGTTCTTTTACAATATACTACCATATGATCTTGACTATTATCTTTTTGAATCTCAGTATTTTTATGACGATATCTTCTTTTAAAAATTATGAAAGCAATTAATGTATATAAAGTTACTTTGAAATGTAAAGCAGAATACAAAATAGTAAGATTGTGGTATACTATAAAAATGGTGGTATACTATAAAAATATTGGTATACTTAATTTTATGTGTAACAAAAGTTAGACCATTATATTTTTCTGACAAGAAGACTTGTCTAATCAAAAAATGTATAATGGATTCATTTTTTATAGGATCCTTTATGTTGAAAATAATGTCAACAACAGTATTTTTGGAGTCATTAGTAGTTATAACTTTCAGTATTGCTTTTTAAGAGCCACTCATCTTTAAAAATATTGTTGAAAATATTAAAAATAGCATAATATAACCATATGGACTTCAAGCTAGCTACCAGCTAATACTAATGTATATTAAGTTGATCCATAGGAGACTGCCAGAATTCAGCACATTTTACCTACAAAAAGTGAACATTAATTATCATATTACCTAATATAAAATTGTAAAAGTGAATAAGAAAAATAAAATTAATGTTCCATGGAAATAGCTGGATGATATAAACTGTTGATTTGTAAGACAAGTAAATGTGAATGTACATGACCTCAAAATTAGAATGAAAATTTAGGAAAGATTTTATTCTGCAATGCAAATTATAAAATATTAGTTCAAAAGTATTAGTGTGATTTTTTTTTACTTTTAAATGATATATTTCTTTAAATTTGTGCTGTTTTCAATGAGTGCATGTTACTTTTCAAAAAATAAAATTAAATATAAAGCAGTTTGAAAGCAAAATAATGAGTTTTATCTATAAATTAAAACTCAGGTCCCAAAATTTGCTTCTCAAATCACTAATGTTATTATAAAGGCATTTCTAGTTTGATACTGCCTATATCTTGCATCACAAAGGCCTCAGGGTTATGTCACCATTGCACGTTAACTCTTTGACATTCAGTGTCTTCAGCAAAACCCTCTGTGTCTTTCTCTGGCTCCTATCTGAACAATATTCCTATCTTCTAGCCCTATCTAAAATCCTGCTCTATCTCAAAGTATACTGTTTTTTTTAGCCTTCTAGGTTAAGTGCTGTTTTCCTTCCCACATTCCCTCCTCCTCCTAGACCTGGAAGTGCGACAGCTGTTGGAGTGTTGCCCTCAGTGCCACTTCTGGGTCATTTTCCTGCCCTACTTTCATAAAATAACCTTTCTTTTAATATTCTATCATCAGATTATATCACCTATTACTTTTCCTTGTTTTATCATTTAACTAATTCTCAGGTAACTTTAATCTGCTATTATTTTCTGTTTGTCCCACTATCTTTGCATTCAACAGTATACTTGTCTTAATTCCTGATGACTTTACCATATGAGTGATCATTCTCATATCTAACATTTAAAATCTTTGATCTCTTTTTCAGTTATCTTGTTTTACTCCCACATTAGTAGTTAATTTACATATATACCTCTCCAAAACCACAATTTCAAACAGTTCACTATTTAACCCACTATTCAGGTACCTTTAACACCACTACTCCAACATTTTTTCCACTCCTCTAACCCTCTAAGACCAATAGTCAATTCAACTACCTTTTCTTTGTCATAGGAATCACCTACCATGGCATTGCTTGAATTTTTTTATCTTACATTCTTAAAGATTCATGATGTATCTTCAAAATCATTCTCACATACTTTCTCATTTCCTGTTACACCAATGTTCTTTTTGACATCTATGCTGATTAAAAATAAAACCAGTTAAATATATCTAACTCTCCAGTTGCTCTACACTTACAATTTCACAAGAAGAGTCTTGGGGAAAATATGTGACCAAGACAGTTAGCTTTAGATTGTGATGATAAACATGGTCTCTTAACAGTATTACATTTATACAGACTGTTTAATATTCTTTTATTATCAAATATGAGGATTCATGCATTTTCCTCTGTCCTCAGATCTGAAATATTTTCTCTTTTTTCCCATTGTCACCTAAGGAAAACAAATATGAAAAAATGAGTATTCTCACCAGTGAATACACTAGTCTATGTGCATATTTACCCTTTTGCATGCCTTCCTTCCTTTTAGAACACATGTCCTCTTCTTTTTGCTATCTTAGTTTAATTCTTATAATTGGGCACATTAGTTCCAATAACTACCATGACAAATTGGGTGGCTTGAAAAACTGTAAGTTTATTATTAAATAGTTACAGAGAATAGAACTCCTAAATCAAGTTGTCAACAGGACTGATTTCCTCTGGAGTCTCAGAAAAGTATATGCTATATGCCTCTCCATCATATCTTCTGGCAGTTTCTTACAATTCTTATTATTTGGTTTATGGATTCGTCATTCCAATCTCTGCCTCATTCTCTCTTAGTCTGTGTCTGTATTCAAATTTCCCTTTCCTCATAAAGCACCACTAATTGGACTAAGAAACAACATAAGGCCAGTATGACCTCATGTTAAATAGATTACAGTTTTATGATTTAAAGACTCTACTTCCAAATATGAGCACATTCAATGATGTAAGAATCTGAATACATCTTTTATAAGGATAGAGTGCTGACCATGTTTTTCACTGTTTAAGGACCTAGCCATTATAAGTAAATCCCATTCTTCTATTATCAATTTTTTCTTATATCATTATGGGATCATTACTATTATCAGAATATTTATTCCTATTGTTAAAAAAATACCTTAACCCTTTTCCCCCATCCCTGAATTTTGTCATCTTTATGCAGCAAAACTCTAATTAGCTTCCTAACTGCACACGCGCACACACACACACACACACACACACACGCACACACACATACCAGCATATCTTTCATGTCATTCTTTTTTTTTTTCTTAAATTCTTTTATTGGTACATTTTAGGTATGCAACACAATTACAATTCTCATTGGGAACTTGTACCTTTACGTGATGCACCATGCTTCTTATTTTTTCCCCGTCCCTAGACCTCCCTTCATCCCCTCCACCCTTCACTATTTAAAAAGACTTTATTTCCATTTTTTCCATTTCTCATCATTTTTCCTTTCCCTTCTTTCCTTTACCCTGTCCCTC